GTGGTCCTTAAAAGAGCATATAGTGGGGAATACTGAAGATGAAGCAGCTAGAAATTTCAGTTTTTGCTTTGATCTCCCAGACCTATCAAGCTCACTCATAGCCTGTCTTTGAATAAATAGCGCCTTCTCTGGAGGGTTTTAGGCTTAGTTGAAGGGTTCACATCAGAATTGCTTCCCTGCAACTCTTTAACCTCAGGAAGGCTATTGATGGTTTCAGGGTCCCAGAGTTCCAGCCTCTCTTGAATTCACCCTGGTAATCCCATTTCACCCCACCCACCCCCCTTTAGCCTCCTCAACTGGTCGACTGTTCAGACTTTGCCCTTCACTAAACCAAATTGCCTGCAGGGACTTGGTTTTCTTCTGTGCTGTGCCCCTCCCTGTCCCTGTGCCACCTCAGCCCTGTGTCCTACTTCCCACCTATGTTTTGTGAATGTTCTTCAGTCCTACGTTTGTACCTCATAGGGCTGTTTATGTCCACTGCAGAAGTGCAGGTTCAGTAAAGGCAGCTGTATATAATTGGAAGGAGGAGGAGGAAGAAGAGGGGGCGGATTAATTATTACTGAGATGTTTGCCTGGAGTTTTAATTAGGCTGCCTTTCCTTCCTTTTTTTTTCCCTCAGCTCAGAAAGTCCTCTTAGAATGTTAGTATTTTAGAGACTTGGAACATTAGGTTTTAACATTGTGCACCCAGAGCCTCAGTGTAATAAAGAAATCAATAGGCTGATTGCCTCCAGTAGTTTGATTGCTGAGTGCATTGGGGTACCTTTTGTTCTTGAGTGAATGATCATTTCACACACTAGCAAACGAGAAACAAATGTGGGTGGAGTGCTTGTCTGGGCTTCTGATTTGCAACCCTGACCTGGGAAGTCATTATTTCCAGCAATGTGTGTAACTTATGAGCAGCTTGCCAAATGTTCTGTAACCTTCCCCTTGACAGTTCTCCCAAGTTATGTGTATCATAAAAACATTTCTCATTTGCCAGAATAGTTCTGAGTTTGTTTTGAATCTGACAGGTCCTCTGATATTACATTCTTAAATCTCACTAACAGATAATTTATAGCAAAACTACTGCCTTGGCAGGAGGTAAAATTATATGATTTTCAATTTGGGTTGAAAATTAACTCAAGTTATGATGACACGAGACACTCGGACCCTACAGATTCATCATGATTATCTTACCGTGAAATACTTTTCATAGCAGGATCTACCCGCCATTTATTGTTTCTGTCAAAACCTTTGATTGGAAAACGTTTCACAAGGGGAATGTTGTCATTTCTACAGATGCATGTATGCATTTCATGATGTGTCCCAACCACAGTATGGGTGCTCCTTGTTTTATGCAATAGGTATACCCTTGAAGAGTTGCTGATAAACTGAATTTTTACAGATACATTTATAATTACATGCACATGCAGTGCTGTTATTTTACCTAATAGTTTCTTTATAATTAGAAAAACTCCCAAATTCATTTGAGAATTAACACTCATATATTGGGTCTTGTTTAGAAGAAGTAATCTTAACGTGAATCAGGCAAAATTATCAACTAGCTTCTACTCTCAATAGTTCTGGCTTAGTTATACCACATTTCATCCCAGTAGGAGACTGCAGGTTTTACACATTCTACATTTTCTCACAGATACTCAAAATATTTCCAGAGGAAAGTCTGCCACTCTGAAAGCCACTCTTTGCTTTCTCGTATCACTCTTTCAGGGAAGGAAAGGGGGATGCCAGCTCAGAGTTGAGATGATTTGTGAATGTCCTGCTGGAATATTACATAACCTAGCAGGTGGTTTTTTTTTCTTTTTTGAAACATAGACTCACTCTGTAGCCCAGGCTGGAGTGCAGTGGCCCGATTATAGCTCATTGCAGTCTCAAACTCCTGGACTCCTGGGTTCAGGTGATCCTCCCATCGCAGCCTCCTGAGTGGTTGGAACTACATATGCGTGCCACCATGCCCAGCTATTTTTTATTTTTTTTTTATTTTTTGCAGAAGCAAGGTCTCGTTTTGTTGCCCAGACTGGTCTCAAGCTCCATGATTCTGTGTATTCCGGCTACCTATTGTTGTGTTGCCAACCAACCCTAAATTTAGTGGCTTAAGAAACTTACTGTCTCTTCCCTTCTGTGGGTTGTTTGGCTCAGCTGGTTTGTTCTCACTTGCACTTCCCACATGTGGTTGCAGTCAGACACTGACTAGGGCTGTAGTCATCTGAAGGCTGGAGTGAGCAGGATGACTAAGATGACTTCTTGACATGACTGGCAGTTGAGACTGTCAGCTGAGAGCTCAGCTGGGCTTTGGGCCACAGCACATATGTGACCCCTTGTGTGGCTTGTACTTCTTATTGTTGATTGGGTTCCAAGAAGGAGAGTCCCACGAATGAGTGTTCTAAGAGGTCCAGGCAGAAGCTGCAATGCTTCTTATGACCTCACCTCAAAATCGCAGAACATCGCTTCTTCCACATTCTGTTGTCCAGTGACCAAGGCCAGCCCAGATTCAAGGGGAGGGAATTAGACTTCACCTCTTGATGTGAGTTGCTGCACGTGCGTACTGTGAGGAAAAGAATGGGGGGTTTGGGGCATTATCATGACCGTTCTGCTGATCATCATCCCTGTATTGATCTTGCAAGTCTGTGGATAGATCAAGAGGAATCATCCAGGCCAAGGGCTCTGCCCATGACCTGTTTCCCACATACTCCACCTTCCATTCCTCATCCTTCCCCCAAGCTGAGTCCTGTGTCAGCCCTTTATCCTCACACTTTTCTACAATGGTGTTCAAGAAAGTGCACGTGTTCCTGGTAAAACAAAAACGGGTGGGGCCCATTTTTTAACTACCTACCATAATGTTCCGGAGGAAGGACATTCTCTAGAGGAACAAGATGACACAAATATGAAGCGTGCATGAGCCACTGTGGGCAGCATAGGGAGGTTATAGAATGCTTAATACATATAATACATACAAATGAATTTGCCAGCCTGGTTGGTTAGAACTCAGTACGAGGGAGTACACAGTAAATGAGCCTGTTTCCATGAAAGCCTACAGAAACGTTCCCCTCTACTGACCCCAGCCCTAAGAGAGCCATCCATGTTACAGATGATTGAAAAACAGAACTTGGTAAGGGAATCTAACTAGCACAGTCTTAAAGACATATTTATTTACCTAGGAGCTACCCCAAGCACATATCCTATCATATTGACTCAGTAAAACCATCTTAGTAAATCAGAACCACAAACACACAGAGAACTGTGAAGTAGTGTGTCTAGTATAAATGTTTTTCAGCTCACATTTTGGAGGTGCTTAGAGAAGGCTGTGCCCACAGATATGTTACATACTTAGAGTGGACACTTTTTGATGTTTGAGGTAAAGTCAAGTTCTCTCCATGAACTTGGAAGTATAATTACCTCCTTACCTTTAATCAGGAAAACAGCTGCCCTGTTAAACACCCTGAGCTATCCGTCCTTTGATTTCAGCTGTGGCGCTTAGTTGATCTAGATGCATACATAGGCTGACAACTCCCTTGAATACATTACTTTTCACCCTTTGTAGCATTTTTTCCTTCCTCCTGCATACCCCTCGTTGGCTCCCTGGGGATTCAAATTTGTGTTTATCGTGCTGAAAATTTAAAGGCGAGATAAACAACATTTTAAGCAATTTATAAGCAGAGGCTATGCCAGGAATGCATTAGGCTTTCTATTCGACATATGTTAAAATATTGCTTGCTGGCAAAGGTAGGAAGAATATCCCTAGGTGTGAAAAGCAGATGGTTAGAGACTATTGATAAAGCTTTGACCCAGAATATGGCTACATGGGATTAGTATTTAATTTGGGCTTCTGTAACAAAATAGCGTATATTGGGTAACTTATAAACAACAGAAATTTAGTTTTCACAGTTCTGGAAGCTGGAAGTCTGAGACCAGGCCAGCAGTGTCAGGTTCTGGTGAGGGTCCCCCTTATGGTTTGCAGACTACCTACTTTTCATTGTATCATCACATGGTAGAAAGAGCACAAAAGAGCTCTTTGGGTCCCTTTTATAAAGACATTAATCCCGTTTATGAGAGGCTTCACCCCCATGACTTAATTATCTCCCACACGCTTCACTTCCTGGTATCATTGCACCTGGGGGTTAGGATTTCAACATATGAATTAAGGGGTAGGGACACAAACATTCAGTCCATAGCATTATTCTGTTGACTTGTTAAATGTATTCTTGTGGAATGCTAGGGGTAGAGGGTCCAAGAGATGCCATTTATATAGGGCCTATATTTTTATAACACCAGGAGGACATTTGGCAAGGTTCAGAAACACACTCTGGCAGGAGGTATAGGAAAGGGGATGAGAAAGAGGCACCATACAAACATAAACCTTAGGGCAGTGGACACACTGTAGTAAGGGAAGAGCTCTACCCTTGTCTGACTTCTTCCATGTAGATCATTCCAGACTGAGGAGACCTCTCCTGCTCATTAGCGTTCTGATGAAGAGTCCACACCCTTCCTTAAATACTCACCTCTCAGTTACACTATTGTAGACCCACAGTCTACCTCCATCCTTTCCTTCTGCCTGTAAATATTGATTGAGCTCCCACCATGTGCAGGTACTGTGTTATGTGGATGAATAAGACACATGAGCTATCAAGTTGAGAGACATGCAATAAACCAGTAAACAAGTAACACAATGAAAGATTATGATTAGTGTTATGGGGGGGGGGGAGGTGTGATAAAGAATAATGGGTGTGTGTGTCCTGTTTTGGATAGGATGATCAAGATAACCCTTTGAGGAGGTGACATTAATTATCTCAAAGTGATTAAACTTTGGCATGTGTTAACTGACACTTTACCATTTCTTAAACTGCATGTTGTTAAAGTTCACATTAAAATAGCGTTTGCTTTTTCTGAGCCCGATCTGCAGAATGCCGAATGGACAGCAATTTTGGGGAATAGAGGGAAGCCAGCTGGATGGCTAGACCTCTCCTGGCCAACGCTTTTCTCATGACAACCTTCTTTCCTTAGGAAAAGGAGACGTGTTTGGAGATGTGTTCTGGAAGGAAGCCACCCTTGCCCAGTCCTGTGCCAACGTTAGGGCCTTGACCTACTGTGATCTGCACGTGATCAAGCGGGATGCCCTGCAGAAAGTGCTGGAATTCTACACCGCCTTCTCCCATTCCTTCTCCCGGAACCTGATTCTGACCTACAACTTGAGAAAGAGGGTGAGCTGACAGTTTCAGTTATTTTCTGCAAAGAACAGCCCCTGTGCACTTTGGATAATCATTGGGGCCAGAAAAGCCCCTTTGCTGTTTATTTAAGTAGAGTAATTGGTTCTAAAGAGGTTCTGTTTGTTGCTTGCTCTGCGAGGCTTTCGCTATAAAATGAAGGAGAGAGGGGATGTTGCTAGATTAGAAGATGGATCCGTTTTGGGGCAGAACAGATTTATTCATGTGTGTGGAGGGGGCAGGGAGGTGGCTTTTTTTCCATCAATATCTAGACCTTCTAGCATTTTGAAAAGATGAGTACAATGTAAGGTTGCTAGTCAGCAAAATGGCTCTGTGGGGCCACTTAATTAATGCAAACTGAATTCTCTGTGGTGACTGGGATTTGCTGACAGGTATGAAGCCATTAGCCTGCCAGATAGTAATGGTAATTTTTAAACAGACGTGAAAATGACTTAAGTGGATCCAGGAATAAGAGAGACATGGAATTTGTTTGTCTAGAGCAGGCATCCCCAAACTTTTTACACAGGGGGCCAGTTCACTGTCCCTCAGACCGTTGGAGGGCCGCCACATACTGTGCTCCTCTCACTGACCACCAGTGAAAGAGGTGCCCCTTCCTGAAGTGCGGCGGGGGGGCCGGATAAATGGCCTCGGGGGCCACATGTGGCCCGCAGGCCGTAGTTTGGGGATGCCTGGTCTAGAGAATATGTTGCATGCAACTGCCAACTAAACTGGTTGAGAAAAGATTGGTGGTTTAAGAACCAGAAGATTTTTCACCTGAAGTTGTTTCTTTCAAATCATCAGAACTGCTCCATCTGTCTCCGTGAGGATTAAAGTATTGGTGTCATACTCTTGGGGTTTTCATGATGAATTTTCTGGTACTTCATCTCTCTCTTTTGGTTAAAACGGTAACGAGATAGCTCTGCACCTAGAGAAATCATGTAGAAAGGTGATCATAGGAATCTTTCCTAAAACCACCTCATTATCTTTCCCCCAACCTGTTCCTCATCTCATGGTTCCTATTTTCATTGTCTGATTTGTCCTGGGGCTCCAAGTTAGAAACCCCGGCATCAACGTTTATGCTGCCTCTCCCTCTTTGAGGTCTCATGTTCCTCATCAGATCCCGCTGGTTCTACCTAAGCTCTCAAATCTGAGTCAGTACTTTGCCTTCATCCTCAAGGTCCCCCACAGAATTCTCAGGACACAAAGCTGTTTGTTAAAAGGCCTTCCTCATGCCCTGGCTGGGTCATGCAATGGGCTCCAAATTCACCTTCCTGCCTCGTGTCTGCCCTCAATGGAGTGCTTCCTTCTTACGGCTGCTTGACGAGCCTTCAAAATTGACCTGATCATGTCACTCCCCGACCTGACTAAAGGATAATGTCTGTATATTTCAGCATGGTGTATGTGGTAGTTTACATCTGGCCCAAACTTAATTTGTGAGTCCTGACCTTACCCGCTTCTCTCCATGCCCACCCGTCCCACCCTGAACTGCCAGCATGAGAATTCCACACAGTTCTCCAAGCACACCACACCCCTTCAGAGTGCCGTGTCTCTGCCTGCTGATTTCTGCTTTCTCAACCTGTAATTCTTTTCTGTGTGTGACAAACCTGTTGGCCCTAAAAACTGCTGAAATGTTTCTTTTTTCATTCTTCAAACCCAGTATTGTGCCAACTGAGCTAGACTAGACATATAAAACCCAGCGATACTCAGTTTCTGATCTCCAGGAACCTAAAGTCTAATGGAAAAGATTAACACAAGAAAGATAATTGCACAGAGGATTCTAAGTACAGTGATTGTGATTTGAACAAGGTTTATGGGAGCAAAGGAGGGGAACAGCTAAAGGGAGTCAAGGATTAATTGTCAGTGGTGATACCTAAGTTGAGTCTGAAGGATGAATTTGCCAGACAGAAGGGGCAGATGATCTACCAGGAAAGGCAGTTTGAGCAATGTCTGGAGAAAGGAAACAATCTTTTGTTTTCCAAGTCCTTTGTACAAGGTTCCAATGCCTGTCACTGGGGTACCCCAGCAATATGCCTCCACCTGTTTAAACCCCTTGAACTGTCTTGTGAGTCCCTGCACAGAGACCTGTGAAGGCAAGGGCTTGGTGCCTTGGTATCCTCAGTGCATAACCAAGTGTGGGGTGCCTAGAATTAATATTTGAGGATGGCAAGGAGAAAAAGATGGGATCTCTGGGCCTCAACTTCCACATCATAGAATGTAAGATTGTGGCAAGATGATTGTTATAGTCTATGGTTTGAAACCTGGCCATTTCAATTCTAGTGGAGGGTGGGCAGTGGTGGAGAAATGTGCATCCAATGTTATTCCTGGTTGATCTGTTGGTTGGGAGCATAGGATGCTTGCTGGTGATACATTTAGCCAAGTGGATTCTCTTGTAGTCTATTTTTTGATGTATTCCTTCTTTCTATGAAAGCAAGTTGATTATAATCAGCTTTTAGTGTTGCTGATAATATAGGTTGAAAAAATATGCAGTTTGGGTTATTTGGAGGAGTAATCTTCTTGGAATAACTGTGGCTCAAGTAAATCTGCCTTTAAAAAAAGCCAAGAATGACAACAAAAACAGTGACATCTCAGTGGTCAGATTGTTTCTATAAGTACAGAGTGATTGACAGCTCTGCAGAAGAGAAGACTCGGGGGCTACATTTTTGAAGAGCTGTTGTGGAGGAGTTTTTACAGCCACAGGGTACAGAGGAAGAATCAAAATTATAGACAGATTTTGGCACAGTATAAAGAGCCTTTTGAAAAAAATCAGAGCTCCCCAAAGAATGAAATAGGCTGCTTTGAGCATATCAGGTTTGTTATTCTGAGGGTATTTAGGCATCTCCTAGGTACCCATACTCAGAAACATTGTGGAAGGGGCTTAGGTAACTGTTGGAGAGTCGAACTAACTTTCAAATTTCCTTCCAACTCAAAGTGACTATATATGAGTCTGGTATGGATCCAAAGGAATTTTAGTGAGAGCCTTTGTGTAAAGAGGTAGGCATTCTTTTTTGGAAAAATGAAAGAGGCTTGTCCTTTTGGTATTGCCATTGTAGTGTCTCATTGTGTCCTTCTGAGAATTAATTCATAGTTACGAAGGGCATGGAAGACAAGAACATTACATGCATGGATTATTCTTGTAGCTTTTTTTTTTCCTCCTGGTAAAGCAAAGTGTATTGTTGCAGCTGTTTCTGTCTTGGCAAAATTAAGTGTTTTATTTGCTAAGATTCTTGACAACACTGTCTTTGACATCTGTCTGGGGAGTTGCTTGATTTGTAGATCTTGTCCAATGTGGAGCAAAGACTGTGAGCTGGAAGGTAACTTGGTAACTGTTCCATGTCTTCCCTACTTCCTTAACACCCTCATTTCACATTTTATAGAAAGGTCGCAGTGCTGGGTTTATAATGGAGAAATTGGAGGCAGAAGTGACACCTTGACCAAAGCCTTCTTGATCACAGCTTCCTGTCCTACTCTAGCCTCAGTATTCTAAGCCTCATCCAGTTTCCCCTAAAAGGATATGAGCATCACTAGCTCTCAGCTGTTGCTCTTGAAACCCAACTTAGGAAGAAACTGTTGCCTTCCTCCATTTCCTCCAAAGCCACATGAAGGCACAGACTAGGAGGAAAGAGGCAGAAACTGGAGGTAAATCTAGCATTTTGACCTTTAGTTTTTCTTGCTTGTGAGGTCTGAGCCAGCTGAGAGTTTGGTCTGGGTCCTGCTTCTGTCTTTTATTGCTTCTATAGTTCTGGACAAGCTATAAAAGCTTCCTCATCTGTAAAATGGGGATGATGAAAATTTCTAACTTGTAGGATAGTTGCAAGGATTAAGTAAGATAATATTTGCAAACCTCATCCACATGAAGCCTACCACATAGTGAGTGCTCAATTCAGTTGTGTGTTGTTCTTTTGTTCTCTTCACTTGATCGATACTCTATTCTTTATTATCCTGTGCCTTTAGAAAAGTAGAAAGAAGACAGTTCCTCTGCCTTTGTGCATGCAGGGTTATTGCTCTGCACAGTGTTCTGGGGTGGGGAGGTGTTATCCACAGGTTCTCTGCATCTCTTGCAGCAAAGGAGGGATCAGTCACTCTGGGAAGTGGAATCCATTGCTGGCCTCGCTGCCCCTTTGGCTCCTGCCTGTGAAGAGGTCAGCATTTGCCCACTGTTTTGGCCAGTTCAATTCTTGGAGGGAAAAATAGGCTCTTTTGAGATCTTAGGTCAGTTACCAGGGAGTCAAGAGGGAAGCACAAGAGACAGGCACAGCATTTTTGTTTCTTCTGAGGGAGGTAGCTTTGGCTATTCATGAAAAGAAAGGGAAGTAGAGCCTTCTCCATCCAACCCATGGGTCTGTAGGGTGCCAGGTCTATGCGCATTTTCCTCCAGGCCCAGAGTCGTCTTGTCTCTGTAATCAGAGCTTTGCACACTATAAATAGTAAATTATTACCAACTCCAGATATTGTGCAAGCTACGTCACAGTGTCAGCATGTGTATTATGTCAGCTTATTGCATCTTCAGAACAGCCTCATGACATTACTGTATCATTCTCATTTCTTAATGGAACAAACTAGGACCCTGTGAGGAAGAGAACCCCTTTTCCAAGGTTGCCTGGTTAATAAGTGGCAGATTCCAAACCTGCATGTGCTCCTCTGGCTAAGCAGTGCCACATACTGTGGTAGCCTCAGTGAAGTGTGGCTCTCAGCTGTTCCCATGTTGGCATTCTTTGGCTTCTGTGTTCTTCTAGTGTGTGAGCTTTTCAGGGGTGGCTTCGGTTGTCTCCTGAGTATCTTTCTCCAATGGCCTTTGCTACCACCAGTACACTCAGAAACGTGTACAGCGAAACCACAGTAATATTCCAGGTTGGGAGTGTGACAGATTTCCCCCTTGTAGTGACAGGTACACAATAGGTGGCTGGTTGTGCTGGGTGTGGGAGGCATGACACATTTCGCTTTGGTTAGGCAATAGGCTAACCTGGCCATGCTATTAATAATAAACTAGAAAGGGCACT